CCCAAATATCTGAATACATTCACCTCCTCCATACTCTCTCCTCCTTTTTGAATCCAATCTTTCACACCAATCTTTTTATCCTCATAACCTTACTCTTTCCTTATTCATTATAATTTTCTTTTTTTGCACACCCCACCAAAAACACCACCAAATTTTGCAACTTCTTTCAAATCTCCCAAGAGCCCAGTTCATCAGAAAGACAACTGGAAAAACTCCCACTTTGTGTGATTCTTTATCTTTTAACTCCACGCCTCTTGCCAAGACCCTCGCTTTACTTCCTTACAACCCCCTCTAAAATTTTTAAACAACCCGGTACATCACACATCCGTCAAGGCCACTTTTACTGGGAAATAATTTTCCCCCTTTCCTACATACTTAACTTTAGCCCACTGCCTCCCAAAAACTTCATTTCTTTCAGAACCTACCTCCACACCATACACCTGTATCTGCCACTTGCCCCCCTATCCACCCTTTATACGCCTTTTCCAAAACCATAAATGCCCAAAGACCTCTTTGCCTTATCAAATACTGTTCACTTAAATTTTTTCACTTAAACACCTGGTCCACCACCCCCTACCTTTCCTAAAGCCCCCTTTTTCTCTGCTATCCTATTTTCCGTCTTTCTCTTAAACTTTCAAAATAACCTACCATACACTTTACCCGGGATATCAACAGATTACCCCCCTTTAATTTTTGCACCTCTTTTGTCCCCTTTGCCTTTATACAAAGGAAATATGTCCTCTCAATCCCTAGGTACCTTACCCCCTTCCATACATTTATTTAAAAAATTGCACCAAACCCCTCCAAAAATATATCCCCCCGTTTTAAAAATTTTTATCTTATCCCCTCAATCCCCGCTGCCTTACCCCCTTTCATTTTTTCCTACGCCCCACGAAATTCCCCCCCACCACAATGGCTCTTCCCCTCACTCCACAAGATGTTTTTCCCCCCTTGCCCTATACACGAAATCACAGCTTCCCCATCTTTATCAAAATTTAACAATTCCTCAAAATATTCCCTCCATCTTCCCCCAAACCCCTAACCCCATTTAAAACTCTCCTCTCCTTTTTTTAACTGACAAAAACCATTTGTCACCCTGGTTTTTTTTAAAAATTATAGATTGGGGTTTAAGAGAAGTAAATGGAGGGGCTTGGCAAGAGGCGTGGAGTTAAAAGAAAAAAGAATCACACACAAATGGGAGTTGTCACAGCTGTCTTTTCTGTGAACTGTTTTGGGAGATTTTTGAAGAGAAGTTGCAGAGATTGGGGGATGAAATTTTTTGGGGTGCAAAAGAAGAAAATTAAAAGGGGAATCAGAAAGATAAGGGTTTGAGGATAACAAAAAAATTAGGTATGAAAGATTGAAACAATTGGAGGGAGGAGTATGGGGAGGTAACATTTCAGATATTTGGAGTGGCGTTTCAGCGGATGGGGCATGAAAGATGAGGTGAATATAGAATTGATGAGGGGAAAAAAAGTGAGTGGGTTTTCACTTAGGATCTGTGGAGACAAAGAACTTTGTCCTTGGGGCAAAGAGGGGAATGTTGAAGTATAGTTTTAACAACGCTCTTATATGGGTGTGAACGTGGGGGATGAAAGTTCAGCGGGAAAGGCTGGGGGCAGTGGAGATGTCATGCAGGGCAAGTGTGGTGTGAATATAAATGCAAGAATTCGTAGTTTGGAAGTTAGGAGGAGGGCGGATTACCAAAACTGTTTCCAAGGGCTGAGGAAGGGTTGTTGAGGGGTTCGGAAAAAGTAGAAGAATGGAGCGAAAAATGCTTTAAGAGTGATCAGTCGTGTGGAAGGAAGGGGGGTGGGGCGGCCAAGGAAGGGTTGGAGGGGGGGGGTAAAGGAGGGTTTTTTGTGCGAGGGGCTTGGGGTTCCACAGGCATGCTGACGTGTTTTATAGGAAATGGGGACAAATGGTTTTTTATACTTGACGTGCTTTGGAGTGTGAGAAAGTAACATTTATGAAGGGATTCAGGGAAAACCGGCAGGCCGGGCTTAGTCCTGGGGATGGGGAAATACATGCTGCACTCTGAAGGAGGGGTTTAATGTTGCGTTTAAAAAACGAGTGTAAAGCACCCTTCTGGGAAGACATGAGGAGTGAATGATGGTGAAAGGTTTTTTTTTTTCGGGCCACCCTGCCTGGTGGGGAACGGCCCTGTGTAATAAAAAAAAAAAAAAAACCATTTTTTCTCTAGGCTTCCTTACCTGTTTAAACTCACTCCAAAACTTTTATTTTCAAAAAAATTTGTTAACATCTCACCCCCTCTCTCATTTTCTTCTTTTTACATTGCTTTTCCCCTCTCTTAAACCTCTCTTTTTTCTCCATTCTCTTCCCCCCCTTGCATTTTACTTCTACTTTGTAAAAAAATTTCCCCTAGCTAACTTTTTTTCCCTTTCTATCCCTTTTAAACATCATTCCACCAATCGCTCCTCTTCCCTCCGACCCACTTTTCCCGTAACCACAAAAATTTCCGAACACTCTAACACTACATTTTTTAAACCCACCCCATACCTCTTCGACCCCCTTCCTATCTCCCCCATTAGCCCCTCTATCCTCCAATGCTGTTTTACTTACCCTAACGCCTCCTCTTTTTGTTTTAAACCTTTACCCTCCTCTCCCTGATGCTTCTATTCACCCCTTTTATCCCTTTATAAAAAAAGATATTTATTTTGTACAGCAAAAAAAAAAAACTTTGAATTGTTAAAAAAGGAATAAGATTACACAAATAACCATACACAGGAGAAACTTTTATTACGGGGTTTTTTGGCCCAAAAGGGCCAAAACTTTACCTTTAAATTTTTTTCTGTGTGCAGGTTATTTTTGGGATTGTTCCCAGTCATGGTATTGTGTCTTTGTTTCTTTAGGAATAAGATTCATGGGGCAAACACAATGCAGAAGTCAAAAAACAACAAAACCTTATACGAGAACCATCTTATTCCCCCTGCTTACCCTGGTAACCCGGGGTAGCCTGGAGTTTCCCGGGTCAACAAACCCCCATGGCCGATTATACCCGGACGGGGGGTGGATCAGGACCTTTTCAACCAGGTGTTTTGTTATCTACACACACCAACACGGAGCCACGCAAATTTTTTACCACACTTTGTGTATGTCACTTTTTATTTTAGGTGGGAAAATTTATATTGTATAAATTGATAAATGTAAAAATTTGTAAAATCAGGTGAACTTTTTAAACCACAAGAAAATTTAAATCTTAAAAACAAGTGAACTACATTCAAAATCTAAATACATAAAAGTATTTTTTGTGTATTTGTACTTAGTCACAATACATAAAAATACAAATTTCAGTTTCAAATCAGAGGAAAAAATTACAATACCCCTTGGGCGGATAAGTGGGGATGAAGAATGGAAGTTGAGAAAAAGGGTTTAAAACCCGGGAAATGTTGCCGTTAAAATACTGAGAAGTTTATGATATCAAAAAAACAAAATGTCTGGAGGGCTTTTTAAAAAATTAAAAATGGCTGTGGGTGTATGTAGTGTCGTGACTTTTTATCTTCCATAACGAAAAAAACAATTCACATTAAGAAAAAGAACAGTGGACCCCCCCTTTAAGTCACCTCCAAATGCACCAAATTTTGTAATGTATTAGTAATGCGTTTTTTAGTGTATGTTTGGGGGTCGAAAAAGGACTAATCTACTTCCAAATTCCTTTTGGGAAAAAAATTTGGGCATACTGGCACCTGAACATACTACGGGAAAGAAAAAAGTCGTTTAAAGGGGTCCCCTGTAAAAAAATTTTTTTAGTCATACATAAATTGGTTTTAAGAGGGAAAAAAGATTTACTGCAAGGCTCCTGGGCTGTGGGAAAGGTGTTCAATTGGGGGTTTCAGATGGTGTTCTAACAAACAATTTCAGAAGTGCTATCTTTATGTAGTCAATCAAAAAGTTCCCAAAATAAAACTTCCCTGCAGACAAATCCCAAAAGGCCCCTAAGGGAAAAAGAAATTTTACAGTATAAACAATAAAGTAAAACCAAACAAATGTGAGCAATTTTCTGATGATTTACCACTTAACTTATATTTCATGAGACAGTAAGACTTACTGTTACTTTACATCATTCTTTGATAGAAAGAAAGGCCAGCAGTCCCCGCCGAGTGCAAAAATTTTACCCGGTTTTCAAAACACACCATAGAAAGGATGGTAAACCAACCGGAAGTTTTATACTACCCAAACCCACTACCAGCTACAGGAGTACATCCTTTGACTAACAGTGATTCAAAAGGGAGCACAGCTGGGGGGCTAAGTCTAACCCCTACTTTTTCTTTGTACCTGGGGGGCCGGTGGCTAAAGCCCCCCCTTTACACACGGGGGGGGCCGGGTTTGATTCCCGGCGGGTGGAAACATTTTGACACGTTTTTCTTACACCTGTTTTCCTGTTCCCTAGCAGCAAAAAGGTCCCGGGGATTGTCCACTGGGTGGGTTGCATCCCGGGGGACAAAATTAAGGACCCCCAAGGAAAAAGTTGACAGTCCCCGATGACCACTGACTTTCTTGGTTTCCGGGTGGCTAACCCCCCGGGGTTAAAAAAACCAACGAAATTTTCTTAATCCTCTTTTCTTATCTTTTGAAAAATGGTCTGGGAATAGTACCAATAAGATTTGGGGAAAAAGGGACTTTGTACAGTTTAGGGGTTTATCAGAAGAAAATTCTGCCCCCCAGGGGCCTCTTAGTCCTTGAACATTTTTCCCTAATACAGGTGCTCCTCGACTTAATTTTGACTTACAATATTTTGACTTTACGATGGTGCAAAAGCAATTTGGATATGAAACTTGAGATAATTACCCAACATGAAGGTGGCAAGTCCATAACTTATATTCATTTATTTGCTTTTCAATACTGGTACAGTATTTAGTTACAGTAATTATTTATTTACTTATTTAGCATATCACATTCATATTCGACTTATGAAGCGTTTGTCGGTATGTAACCCCATCGTAAGTCAAGGACCACCTGCGGTACAACACCTTTACACAAAGGGTCAACAGTAATCATCTTACTTGAAGAATCATGCTATAGATTTGTTTTTCTGAAATCTCCCACGGCTGCTCTGCATACTGGCTATTAAACTTGTCAATAAATTCATGGCAGTACATCTGCGAAAGAAATCCACGTTAAAAACATACACTAGTTTCAGTCAACATTATTCTTAAGATTCGCACTCTTCTTTTTTTTTTTTAATGTAACAGCCATCTCCTACCAAAGCAGGGGACCCAAAGAAGAAAACAGATTCACCATCATTCATTCAATCATTGTCTTTCCAAACAGTGTTGACATCACAATTCTCTTACCCCTCTGAATGCAACATTCCTTGTATTTCCTGACCTTACTGATCACTCAGGAAAAATAAGCACAAACACAGTACAGTAATATCCCCCCCATCCGCGGGGGATATGTTCCAAGACTTACCGTGGATAGTAGTGAACACAACATATAAGTCGTTTTTCGTTTACATACATATCTATGATAAAGCTTAATTGATAAATCACTTACAGTAACTTGAGAATTATCACTTTTTCACTGATGTAAAGCACTTCTTGGCTTCTCTTAGACTTTGAAGAACTGTCACCATCACTACTCTTGTGCTCTGGGGCCGTTATTAACCAAAATTAAGGATTACTTTTGGGCCACTGTAAACCACGAATAACTGAAACCACGGAAAGCAAATCCGTCGATATGGAGGTTCTACTACATAATGCTATCCTATACTGACTACGTTTTGCCCACACAATGGATTTTACCAAGTCACAAAAGAGATCAATTGTGACTTGATAAATCCCACTGTGTGAAACACAGTCAATAATTATAGCATAATACCGCATTTGTGGCTATTGTTCCATCATGTTGGTATTTTATAACATTTATCTCAACTGATCCCTCTCATGACTCACGAAATCGTAATGACACGATTGCAAACAAACCATACCCCGGCTGGAGTTTTGAGACTCTCTGACCGCGGGTTCAATCCCGGCCGGGGTATGGTTTAATCCCTCTCATGATACCAAGACATAAAGAAGCACTAAACATGTAGGGGTCATGTAGCCATGTAGCTCTTAGAGAATGAGAGGTAATGAAGTCTAGATTTAAGAAAATGGCAGCTCCAATTCCTCAGATCGGGCTGTAAAGCCCTTGTAGCTTAGCGCTTCTTTTTGATTATAATAATAATAATAATTCCTCAGATCAAGAGCCCTTTACCAGCCTTAAGGAACTCCCATTGAAGGGTCAAAAAAAATTCCTGCCTCCCCTGATTACTGTTATCTGAGATTATTTACAGTTCCATTATTATTATTATTATTATTACATTGTAGTAGGTTGGTAGACAGCAACCACCCAGGGAAGTACTACCGTCCTGCCAGATGACTGTGAAACAAAAACCTGTAACTGTTTTGCATGATGGTAGGATTGCTGGTTTCTTTTTCTGTCTCATAAACACGCTAAGATAACAGGGATATCTTGCTACTCCTACTTACACTTTGGTCACACTTCACAGACACGCACATGCATATATATATATACATACATCTAGGTTTTTCTCTTTTTTCTAAATAGCTCTTGTTCTTTTTTATTTTTTCTATTGTCCATGGGGAAGTGGAAAAGAATCTTTCCTCCGTAAGCCATGCGTGTCGTATGAGGCGACTAAAATGCCGGGAGCAATGGGCTAGTAACCCCTTCTCCTGTATACAATTACTAAAAAGAGAAGAAGAAAAACTTTATAAAACTGGGTTGCTTAAATGTGCGTGGATGTAGTGCGGATGACAAGAAACAGATGATTGCTGATGTTATGAAATGAAAAGAAGTTGGATGTCCTGGCCCTAAGCGAAACAAAGCTGAAGGGGGTAGGAGAGTTTCAGTGGGGGAAATAAATGGATTAAATCTGGAGTATCTGAGAGAGTTAGAGCAAAGGAAGGGGTAGCAGTAATGTTAAATGATCAGTTATGGAAGGAGAAAAGAGAATATGAATGTGTAAATTCAAGAATTATGTGGATTAAAGTAAAGGTTGGGATGCGAGAAGTGGGTCATAATAAGCGTGTATGCACCTGGAGAAGAGAGGATGCAGAGGAGAGAGAGAGATTTTGGGAGATGTTAAGTGAATGTATAGGAGCCTTGAACCAAGTGAGAGAGTAATTGTGGTAGGGGACTTGAATGCTAAAGTAGGAGAAACTTTAGAGAGGGTGTGGTAGGTAAGTTTGGGGTGCCAGGTGTAAATGATAATGGGAGCCCTTTGATTGAACTTTGTATAGAAAGGGGTTTAGTTATAGGTAATACATATTTTAAGAAAAAAGGATAAATAAGTATACACCGATATGATGTAGGGCGAAATGACAGTAGTTTGTTGGATTATGTATTGGTAGATAAAAGACTGTTGAGTAGACTTCAGGATGTACATGTTTATAGAGGGGCCACAGATATATCAGATCACTTTCTAGTTGTAGCTATACTGAGAGTAAAAGGTAGATGGGATACAAGGAGAATAGAAGCATCAGGGAAGAGAGAGGTGAAGGTTTATAAACAAAAAGAGGAGGCAGTTAGGGTAAGATATAAACAGCTATTGGAGGATAGATGGGCTAATGAGAGCATAGGCAATGGGTCGAAGAGGTATGGGGTAGGTTTAAAAATGTAGTGTTAGAGTGTTCAGCAGAAGTTTGTGGTTTACAGGAAAGTGGGTGCAGGAGGGAAGAGGAGCGATTTGGTGAATGATGATGTAAAGAGAGTAGTAAGGGAGAAAAAGTTAGCATATGAGAAGTTTTTACAAAGTAGAAGTGATGCAAGGAGGGAAGAGTATATGGAGAAAAAGAGAGAAGTTAAGAGAGTGGTGAAGCAATGTAAAAAGAGAGCAAATGAGAGAGTGGGTGAGATGTTATCAACAAATTTTGTTGAAAATAAGAAAAAGTTTTTGGAGTGAGATTAACAAGTTAAGAAAGCCTAGAGAACAAAATGGATTTGTCAGTTAAAAATAGGAGAGGAGAGTTATTAAATGGAGATTAGAGGTATTGGGAAGATGAAGGAATATTTTGAGGAATTGTTAAATGTTGATGAAGATAGGGAAGCTGTGATTTCGTGTATAGGGCAAGGAGGAATAACATCTTGGGTAGGAGTGAGGAAGAGCCAGTTGTGAGTGTGGGGAATTTCGTGAGGCAGTAGGTAAAATGAAAGGGGGTAAGGCAGCCGGGATTGATGGGATAAAGATAGAAATGTTAAAAGCAGGTGGGGATATAGTTTTGGAGTGGTTGGTGCAATTATTTAATAAATGTATGGAAGAGGGTAAGGAAACCTAGGGATTGGCAGAGAGCATGCATAGTTCCTTTGTATAAAGGCAAAGGGGATAAAAGAGAGTGCAAAAATTATAGGGGGATAAGTCTGTTGAGTGTACCTGGTAAAGTGTATGGTAGAGTTATAATTGAAAGAATTAAGAGTAAGACGGAGAATAGGATAGCAGATGAACAAGGAGGCTTTAGGAAAGGTAGGGGGTGTGTGGACCAGGTGTTTTACAGTGAAACATATAAGTGAACAGTATTTAGATAAGGCTAAAGAGGTCTTTGTGGCATTTATGGATTTGGAAAAGGCGTATGACAGGGTGGATAGGGGGGCAATGTGGCAGATGTTGCAAGTGTATGGTGTAGGAGGTAGGTTACTGAAAGCAGTGAAGAGTTTTTACGAGGATAGTGAGGCTCAAGTTAGAGTATGTAGGAAAGAGGGAAATTTTTTCCCAGTAAAAGTAGGCCTTAGACAAGGATGTGTGATGTCACCGTGGTTGTTTAATATATTTATAGATGGGGTTGTAAGAGAAGTAAATGCGAGGGTTTGGCAAGAGGCGTGGAGTTAAAAGATAAAGAATCACACAAAGTGGGAGTTGTCACAGCTGCTCTTTGCTGATGACACTGTGCTCTTGGGAGATTCTGAAGAGAAGTGCAGAGATTGGTGGATGAATTTGGTAGGGTGTGCAAAAGAAGAAAATTAAAGGTGAATACAGGAAAGAGTAAGGTTATGAGGATAACAAAAAGATTAGGTGATGAAAGATTGAATATCAGATTGGAGGTGAGAGAATGGAGGAGGTGAACGTATTCAGATATTTGGGAGTGGACGTGTCAGCGGATGGGTCTATGAAAGATGAGGTGAATCATAGAATTGATGAGGGAAAAAGAGTGAGTGGTGCATTTAGGAGTCTGTGGAAACAAAGAACTTTGTCCTTGGAGGCAAAGAGGGGAATGTATGAGAGTATAGTTTTACCAACGCTCTTATAGGGGTGTGAAGCGTGGGTGATGAATGTTGCAGCGAGGAGAGGCTGGAGGCAGTGGAGATGTCATGTCTGAGGGCAGTGTGTGGTGTGAATATAATGCAGAGAATTCGTAGTTTGGAAGTTAGGAGGAGGTGCGGGATTACCAAAACTGTTTGTCCAGAGGGCTGAGGAAGGGTTGTTGAGGTGGTTCGGACATGTAGAGAGAATGGAGCGAAACAGAATGACTTCAAGAGTGTATCATCTGTAGTGGAAGGAAGGCGGGGTAGGGGTCGGCCTAGGAAGGGTTGGAGGGAGGGGGTAAAGGAGGTTTTGTGTGCGAGGGGCTTGGACTTACCAGCAGGCATGCGTGAGCGTGTTTGATAGGAGTGAATGGAGACAAATGGTTTTTAATACTTGACGTGCTGTTGGAGTGTGAGCAAAGTAACATTTATGAAGGGATTCAGGGAAACCGGCAGGCCGGACTTGAGTCCTGGAGATGGGAAGTACAGTGCCTGCACTCTGAAGGAGGGGTGTTAATGTTGCAGTTTAAAAACTGTAGTGTAAAGCACCCTTCTGGCAAGACAGTGATGGAGTGAATGATGGTGAAAGTTTTTCTTTTTCGGGCCACCCTGCCTTGGTGGGAATCGGCCGGTGTGATAATAAAAAAAAAAAAAAAAAAAAAATACATTGTATTAATAATTATTATTACAATAATTATTATTACATTATCTCAGTGCTTTAAAAAGTTTCTCAACCACACAAGAATGTGTTGTGATCAGATTTTTTTTGAAACACTGGCTGTCTCCCACCAAGTAAGGGTGACTCAAAAAGAAGAAACACTAAAGCTCCCGCTTCACACACGGAGGGCCCGGGTTCGATTCCCGGCGGGTGGAAACATTTCGACACGTTTCCTTACACCTGTTGTCCTGTTCACCTAGCAGCAAATAGGTACCTGGGTGTTAGTCGACTGGTGTGGGTCGCATCCTGGGGGACAAGATTAAGGACCCCATTGGAAATAAGTTAGACAGTCCTCGATGACACACTGACTTTCTTGGGTTATCCTGGGTGGCTAACCCTCCGGGGTTAAAAATCCGAACGAAATCTTATCTTATCTTATCTTATCTCACTGCCTTGCCAGAGGCACACAGAATATGTCTCGAGAGACATTCCAGCAGGAAAAATGAGGCATTTTCAACCAACCTGGAGAAGAAACGAATCGTTGTAGTTGTTCACTGTGAAGTGTTTTTCGGAATTGTCCAATTCGGTCAGATCGAAAGCCTTGTTAGCAAATCGTATCCAGAAGCGCTTGTATACGGCCACCTGCAAGAAAATGTCAGATTACACAAGCAATTTACAAACCCTTAGAGATTGTATTTATCTTCTTTTGACAAACCAGCCAGAATATTCAATTTTCTTCTATTCATTGTAACTCACCTAATGACCACATGTAAAATTACAGCATTGTTATTGCTTTATTAATCTTAAGTTAGTCTTAAGTTTGCCCAAGACACTCTGCATAACAAGGGGCTTTTTATATAGTAGTATGTCATTAATGTCAGCTATGGTCTGTATACCTTGTACATGTAGAAATGAAGAATATTATTATTATTATTATTATATTATTATATTTTCATTTTAGACTTAAAATAGACGTACCTTAAGAGGTTTAACACTGAGCAGCATTACTATGTAACGGAGGTCAAACTTTACCTCAGCATCAATGTCTTCTCTATAAAACAAAACTGGACGTGAGATGTATTTCTGAGCGATCTGTAAAATTTGGAAGATAAAAACCCATGAGTACCGAACATAATGAACACAAGGTTCGAGTGTTAATATTAGTGGTATTTGGAGACGTCAAACCATGGAAAACATAAACTCATAGGAGATATAAACCTATGGGAGACAAACCCATAGGAAATATAAACCTATGGGAGACATAAAACCATGGGTGACATAAAATCATGGATGATATAAAACCATAAGTGACATAAAAGATTGATCCAAAGAAAGGAAGCATAGATCTAATTCTTAAGATCAAGAGCCCATCACTGGCATCAAGGAACCTCCTGCAAGGCACTAAGGCAGCCCAGCAGAAAATTCCACCCCATGGGGGAAAGTTATCCGCTGGTATTATCTCCACAATCCCAGTGCATCCAAGTTCAATTACAACCATCAATTTGGCTTCTCAACTGCATAACAATATTAAATTTTGTTGGTTAGTGTTGTCTAAAACTATTTAATGTTTATAATTCTGGTTTTTGTAATTGTTTTACATGATGGTAGGATTGCTGGTGTCTTTTTTCTGTCTAATAAACATTCAAAATTTCAGGCACATCTTGCTACTTCTACTTACACATAGGTCACACTACACATACATGTACAAGCATATACAGTGGACCCCCGGTTTACGATATTATTTCATTCCAGAAGTATGTTCAGGTGCCATTACTGACCGAATTTGTTCCCATAAGGAATATTGTGAATTAGATTAGTCCATTTCAGACCCCCAAACATACACATACAAACGCACTTACATAAATACACTTACATAATTGGTCGCATTGGGAGCTGATCGTAAAGCGGGGGTCCACTGTATATACACACCGCTCTGGATTTCCTTCTATTTTCTTACTGGTTCTTGTTCTTGTTTATTTCCTCTTATCTCCATGGGAAAGTATAACAGAATTCTTCCTCCATAAGCTGTGTTTCTTAAGAGGTAATTAAAATGTCAGGAGCAAGGTGCTAGTAACCCCTTCTCCTGTATAAATTACTAATTTTAAAAAGATAAACTTTCGTTTTTCTCTTTGGGCCGCCCGCCTCAATGGGATACGGTCAGTCTGTTGAAAGAAGAATAGAATTACAGTGGTACCTCGGTATACGTCCAGCTCCCAACTTGAACAATTATGCAAGTGTATTTTTGTAATTGCTTTTGTAAGTGTATTTTTGGGGGTCTGAAACAGCTTAAGCCTTTCAGGGTCGAGAGGCCCTCTCCTAAACTTGTTCTCAGGGTTGAAAATTTTTCGGAAAAAAAAATTATTTTGTCTTATGAAATGACAGATAATCTTTTCCCGATCATAATGACACAAAAAGTATGAAATTTGATGGAAAACTTATGGAATTATGCTCTCGCAAAGTTAGCAGTCTTGACAATGTTTACACACATCGGCGATTTCACCCACTTTGAGCCCTATTTTTGGCCAATTCCAGTGTACTAGTCGACAAAAAATCATATCTATTTCGCTAGAACTCCATTTTGTCTATCGAATGAGTACAAGAAACCACCCATTTACTGATTTCAACTATCCAATAAAGTGGTCAGAAATTAGCAATTTTGCCAATTTCACACAAATTTCAGAAGATGCCAATTTCCAAATAGGGTCCAGAATAAACCAGACAGACATTCCTGGCACTAAAATAACATTTTCTCTGTTCATTAGTCATGTTGCCAGGCTCCTCTTACATCTCCTTTGATTTCCACTTTGAATTTTTATTCTCACACAAAATAGAAGATTTACTGTTATGCAGACTACTTCATTAGTGTAGAAATGGTGTAGAAATTGTATAAATAATATCAGCACACTTGTGAAAGAATATTAGACTCACCAGTTGACGTGATTGGACGCTTGGCATGATTTGTTTACTTTTGAACTTTGGTAAAAATCGAACATTTCTGCTACTTTAAGCACAATTTCAAGGTACTTTTCATTATGAAGCCAATCAAAATCATCTCGATATCTGTAATATGTCTTCCATTCTATAAAATGAGACCAGGAAAACTATAATACAACCATAAATACCATACGAAAATACACTGCAAAGTCGCTGTTTTAAACCAAAAACACGGTCAGATTTGAAGGCGCTAAAATTTAGGTGTACTAGTACGTCAATAACCCTTGTGCGTAAGCCATACTAGTACATACGTCGGAAACCCTGAAAGGGCTAATCTACAAATTCATTCGAGTACCGAACGAATATGCTCCTTATGAGAAATTCGCTTGGTACTCACAGAGATCAGCACATGAACAGCCTTCTGGAATTAATTAAGGTTGTATACAGAGGTACCACTGCATAATAAATGAACCAAAGAACAGGTGGAGTTTGAACCCATGGCAAGGATCCCAATGGAAATAAGTCACTTTGTTTGACCTTTCTGGGTTATCCTGTTGGATAATTTACACACCTCCAGCTGGCCACAATGAGATCCATCCAACTAGTAGGTACATATCTACACACCACAGGGAGATTTCCATTGTTTGAAAAATGACGCATTTCCACAATATTTATCTCTCACCTTTGGTCCAGTGGAGGGAAGGCGCATGATGTGATTTAAATTATTTGTAATTGTGTGGTCCAGACCACGGGCTAGATTCCATGGCTTTATGATCCAACAGTTGTCTTCTCCCCTATGCCAAGAAAAAAAAAATTAATTCTATTTTTACAAAGTAATATTCTTTCTATATTTCACATGCACTTTTTAAATATACAGTAATATTTAAGATTAAAAAAAAGGAATTATTAAATTATTACACTTATCAGTGTCGAACAAAAAGGCACAATGCCATGATTGGAGCAACACACAAATAACCAGCACATAGAAGAAAGGAACTCATAATGTCTGGGTCTGATTTGGACCATTACCTTGTGTGTGACTAGTTAATGGTCCAAGTTGGACCCAAACATCATCATAAATTTCTTTCTCCTATGTTGAGGCTATTTGTGTATTATCCTTATTATTTTCACAAGTGTTAATTAAGCTGATAATGGCCACATAGGAAATGGGAGGTAATCACACTTGATCCAAGGTAGGCAAAGGCAGCTGAATTAAGACCCCTTTGCCAGCATCAAAACACCCCATTATAAGGGGAAAGTATGGTACAGTAGAACCCCCATATCTGCACAATTTACTGTGACCCAAAATTAACCCTTAATTTTGTTTAACAACGGCCTGAAAGCACAAGAGAAGTGATGTTGGCAAGTCTTCGAAGTCTAAGAGAAGCCATGCAGTGCTTCCCATCAATGAAAAAAGTGATAATTCTCTATTTATTGAGCATAATTTATCAATTCAGATTTATCATAGGTATGTATGTAAATCCTAGGTAGTAGGTTGGTAGACAGCAACCGCCCAGGGAGGTACTACCGTCCTGCCAAGTGAGTGTAAAACGAAAGCCTGTAATTGTTTTACATGATGGTAGGATTGCTGGTGTCCTTTTTTCTGTCTCATGAACATGCAAAATTTCAGGTACGTCTTGCTACTTCTACTTACACTTAGGTCACACTACACATACATGTACAAGCACATATATACACACCCCTCTGGGTTTTCTTCTATTTTCTTTCTAGTTCTTATTCTTGTTTATTTCCTCTTATCTCCATGGGGAAGTGGAACAGAATTCTTCCTCCGTAAGCCATGCGTGTTGTAAGAGGCGACTAAAATGCCGGGAGCAAGGGGCTAGTAACCTCTTCTCCTGTATATATTACTAAATGTAAAAGGAGAAACTTTCGTTTTTCCTTTTGGGCCACCCCGCCTCGGTGGGATACGGCCGGTGTGTTGAAAGGAAGAAAGAAGAAAGTATGTAAATCCTAGGTAGTAGGTTGGTAGACAGCAACCGCCCAGGGAGGTACTACCGTCCTGCCAAGTGAGTGTAAAACGAAAGCCTGTAATTGTTTTACATGATGGTAGGATTGCTGGTGTCCTTTTTTCTGTCTCATGAACATGCAAAATTTCAGGTACGTCTTGCTACTTCTACTTACACTCAGGTCACACTACACATACATGTACAAGCATATATATACACACCCCTCTGGGTTTTCTTCTATTTTCTTTCTAGTTCTTGTTCTTGTTTATTTCCTCTTATCTCCATGGGGAAGTGGAACAGAATTCTTCCTCCGTAGGCCATACGTGTTGTAAGAGGCGACTAAAATGCCGGGAGCAAGGGGCTAGTAACCCCTTCTCCTGTATATACATGTATTACTAAATTTGAAAGGAGAAACTTTGGTTTTTTCTTTTGGGCCACCCCGCCTCGGTGGGATACGGCCGGTGTGTTGAAAGAAAGAAGAAGATGTATGTAAATGAAAAATGACTTATATATACGTATAAGGTTCGCTACTATCAGTGGCTTCGGATATCATCAGTAGGTCTTGGAACATATCACCCGCAGATACGGGGGGGACTACTGTATTAACAGAACTTACGCTTTTTCTCTCCTCTGAAACAATGAAGCAAACTTGACTAGTTCCCTCTTGAGACAGTATGTAAGAGGCAGCCAAGATGGACCATTCAATTCATTTTCCTCTTCCTTACTTAGATCAGCACTGCGACGACACACAACAGCCAGTAGGTCCTTGACAGTAATCAGGTGTTCGCAAGCGTACTGGTTTATGCGACAGGAAGGTTTGTCCCGTAGGCTCCTGCAATTTACTAGTGTGTCAGATATTTAGTCAGCAAAAAATATTTTATAGTTATTAACACATTGGTCATTACCCACCAAGGGAGGGCGACCCAAAAAAGAAGAAACACTTTCAGTTTCACTCACTCCATCACCATCTTGCCAGAGACAAGTTGATACTACAGTTAAAAACTACAATATATCAACACCCCTCCTTCAGAGTGCAGGCATTATACATCCCACCTCCAGGACTCAAGTCCAACTAACCAGTTTCCCTGAATCCCTTCATCTTACTTTGCTCACACTCTAACAGCACATCATGTCATAAAAAAATATCAAAATAAACTTTAATACGTATATGCACGATTAGGATATTTTAACACGACAAGGCCGTGATCCAAAAAGAGAGGAAACATGTTTACCATCATTCATTTGATCACTGTGTTGCCAGAAGCATGCAGATATCACAGTTTAGATGACCCTCTAAACTGAAACCTTCTCCTCCCTCCTTCAGGGTACTTACCCCACCTCCAGGACTCGAGTCCAACTAACCCACCAAGCCAGATCAACCAGGCTGTGTTGGATATGTGGGTCAGCAAGCCACCAGCAGCAACAACCTGGTTGGCCAGGCTAGCACCAGACCAGCCTGGCCCATGGCCAGGCTCTGAGAGTAGTAAGACTCTCACAACTCATCAAAGGAATATCAAAGGTAAAGATAGCCCTGAATCTCTTAAGATAACTGCAAATTAAAAACAGAAGATACAGGAGAAAACTGAAATTAATGAATAATTCATAATAAAGATACTACAAAGTCTAAACAAACACAAATTTGCAACTACAGGTACCATCCGACTTACGACCGAGTTCGGTTCCGACAAACCGGTCGTAAATCGAAATGGACGTAAGTCGAACTTTACTACTGAATATCAACATCACATTTTTGTAATGACTTTATTTTATTGTTTTATTTTGGTATTTCATGTTTTACTTTACTTTTTATGCTGTTAGTACTGTATTTTATACTGTAAGGTTTAGGATAAACACTGTGTACAACACAAATAGTTGTTTATTTCCCAAAAAATTTGGCATAGAAAACACGGTCATAAGTCGAGTGGTCCAGAGGCCAAATTTCAAAGTGTGCACCAGTATCCAAGAATTTTCAAAAAATAATTTTGTTATTTTTTCTTATGAAATGGTAGAGAATCTTTTTCTGAAGATAATAAAACAAAAAGTATGAAATTTGATGGAAAATTGACGAAATTATGCTCTTGCGAATTTTGATGTGTCAGCGATATTTACGCATCGGCAATTTTGCTGACATTGACTCCCATTTTAGGCCAATTACATTATTCCAGTCGACCAAATTCTTAGCTATTTCACTAGTATTACTTCTATTCAATCAACTGAGCACAAGAAATCACCAAGTCAACTGTTTCAACTACAAAATAAAGTGATCGGAAATTGGGAATTTGGATAATTTAATGCAAAGTTCAGAATATTCCAATTTCAAAATAGGGCTCAGAATAAACAGTGCAGACATTCCTGGTACTAAACTAACATTTCCTCTGTTCATTAGTTATGTTTTCAGGCTTTACAAATGAATTCCATTTTGATTTTTTTATTCAAACCAAAAAAATAGAAAATTTACTGTTATGCAATATTGTAATAATTGTATAAATAATATCACCACATTTGTGAATGTATATTATACCCACCAGCCGGCGTGTATAAGACGTGTGAGGTCATTTGTTTACTTTTGAATATTGGCAAAAATTTAACATTTCCTCTACTTTGAGCTCAGTTTCAAGCCATATTCAGTACTAAAACCAGTCAAAATCATCTCTATTTCTGTAATGTATCTTCCATTCTATAAAATGAGACCAAGAAATCACAAATAGAACTATAAAAAACATACGAAAAATCGCTGCAAAATCACTGCAAAGTCTCAGTTTTTTTTCTCTCATTATGCACTGTGTGCTGCAGGATTTGTTTTATTTGGCGCACACATACCACACAGATGTATTCTCTCATATCTAGGCCCAAATTTACCGCTCACAATTTATCAGAGTGAGCTGAGCTCATGGCGTAGATCTACGGTTTGGATCCTCAACGTAAAGCCGTAGATCTACGGCACGGACCCTGAAAGGGTTAAAAGAGCATGGTCTAAAGTTTAACCCCTTGACTGTCGCAACTCCCAATCCTGAGGTGTCTCCTGGTGTCGCAAAATTTAAAAAAAAAAAAAAAAAATTATTTTTTCTTATGAAATGATAGAGAATCTTTTCCCGATTGTAATGACACCAAAAAAACGAAATTTGATGGAAAACTGACGGAATTATGCTCTCGCGAAGTTAGCGACCTTGGCGATATTTACAAATCGGCAATTTCGCCCACTTTGAGCCCTATTTTCGGCTAATTACGTTGTTCCAGTTGACCAAACTCATAGCTATTTCTTTAGAACTCCGTTTTTTCTATCGACTGAGTACAAGAAACTGCCCATTTACCGATTTCAACTACCCAATAATTTTTTTATATTATTTTTATTATCACACCGGCCGATTCCCACCAAGGCAGGGTGGCCCGAAAAAGAAAAACTTTCACCATCATTCACTCCATCACTGTCTTGCCAGAAGGGTGCTTTACACTACAGTTTTTAAACTGCAACATTAACACCCCTCCTTCAGAGTGCAGGCACTGTACTTCCCATCTCCAGGACTCAAGTCCGGCCTGCCGGTTTCCCTGAATCCCTTCATAAATGTTACTTTGCTCACACTCCAACAGCACGTCAAGTATTAAAAACCATTTGTCTCCATTCACTCCTATCAAACACGCTCACGCATGCCTGCTGGAAGTCCAAGCCCCTCGCACACAAAACCTCCTTTACCCCCTCCCTCCAACCCTTCCTTGGCCGACCCCTACCCCGCCTTCCTTCCACTACAGACTGATACACTCTTGAAGTCATTCTGTTTCGCTCCATTCTCTCTACATGTCCGAACCACCTCAACAACCCTTCCTCAGCCCTCTGGACAACAGTTTTGGTAATCCCGCACCTCCTCCTAACTTCCAAACTACAAATTCTCTGCATTATATTCACACCACACATTGCCCTCAGACATGACATCTCCACTGCCTCCAGCCTTCTCCTCGCTGCAACATTCATCACCCACGCTTCACACCCATATAAGAGCGTTGGTAAAACTATACTCTCATACATTCCCCTCTTTGCCTCCAAGGACAAAGTTCTTTGTCTCCACAGACTCCTAAGTGCACCACTCACTCTTTTTCCCTCATCAATTCTATGATTCACCTCATCTTTCATAGACCCATCCGCTGACACGTCCACTCCCAAATATCTGAATACGTTCACCTCCTCCATACTCTCTCCCTCCAATCTGATATTCAATCTTTCATCACCTAATCTTTTTGTTATCCTCATAACCTTACTCTTTCCTGTATTCCCTTTAATTTTCTTCTTTTGCACACCCTACCAAATTCATCCACCAATCTCTGCAACTTCTCTTCAGAATCTCCCAAGAGCACAGTGTCATCAGCAAAGAGCAGCTGTGACAACTCCCACTTTGTGTGTGATTCTTTATCTTTTAACTCCACGCCTCTTGCCAAGACCCTCGCATTTACTTCTCTTACAACCCCATCTATAAATATATTAAACAACCACGGTGACATCACACATCCTTGTCTAAGGCCTACTTTTACTGGGAAAAATTTTCCCTCTTTCCTACATACTCTAACTTGAGCCTCACTATCCTCGTAAAAACTCTTCACTGCTTTCAGTAACCTACCTCCTACAATGTGGTCAGAAATTTGCAATTTGGCCAATTTCATGAAAATTAAAAAATATGACAATTTCAAAATAAGGTCCAGAATGAACAATGCAGACATTCCTGGCTCTAAAATAACATTTTCTTTGTTCATCAGTCATGTCTCCAGGCCCCTCTGATATTACTCTTGCTTTCTATTTTGAATTTTTATTCAAACAAAAAATAGAAGACTTACTATTATGCAGACTACTGCAATACTGTAATAATTGTATAAATAACATCAATCCATTCATGACTGCGTATCAGAATGGCTAGTTGGACATTTATTGGACAATGACATCATTTGTTTGCTTTTTGAACATTGGCAAAAATCAAACATTTCCCCTACTTTGAGCTCCATTTCCAGGTCTTTTTTATAGTAAAATCAATCAAAATCACCTCTATTTATATAATATGTTTTCCATTCTATCAAATGAGACCAAGAAAACGAGAATGCAACCATAAATACTATATGAAAATAGACTACAAAGTCAGCATTTTAATTTAAAAAAACGGTCAGATTTTTTTTTTTCTCATTATGCACTGCGTGCTCCAGGATTTTTTTTACATGGTGCACACTGACCACACAGTTCCATTCTCTCACATGTGGGCCTACCAGCTTTCTCCTGCTTGATTTGAAGCAGCTAGAATTTATGAATATATATACGTCAAACACGGTACCTCGTAAGTCGTATATATACGGCCACGACAGTCAAAGGGTTAAGGGAGGGCATTAATGGCTATAGTAAGAGTGATGAATTAAGTCTGTGCATGTGTGTTTAGCAGAGAGGAAACTGATGCTTCGTGAGGTGACTACTACGGATATCAACCAGACTGGGCCTGGTTGGCTGCTTAGTTTTATTACTGGATTTAACACCTATCACCTACATTAGTGTAAGGGATACTTTAATTTTTTTTTTAATTTTTAACACTTTGGCCATCTTCCACAGAGTAAAGGTGACCCAAAAAAGAAGAAACACTTTCTTCATATATTTTTCTTGTTAAACATTTAGTAATTTATACAGAAGGGGTTACTAGCCCTTTTCTCCGGGCATTTTAGTTGCCACTTACGACACGCATGGCTTACACAAAAACCTACAAAGTGCTGTCACCTTCATCAAGAATTATATAATGATAGATTGACTTTAATTTCAGGTACGTCTTGCTACTTCTGCTTACACTTAGGTCACACTACACATGTACAAGCATATATATACACACACCCCTCTGGGTTTTCTGCTATTTTCTTTCTAGTTCTTGTTCTTGTTCTTGTTTATTTCCTCTTATCTCCATGGGGAAGTGTAACAGAATTCTTCCTCCGTAAGCCATGCGTGTTGTAAGAGGCGACTAAAATGCCAGGAGCAAGGAGCTAGTAACCCCTTCCCCTGTATAAATTACTAAATTTAAAAAGAGAAACTTTTGTTTTTCTTTTTGGGCCACCCTGCCTTGGTGGGATACGGCCGGTGTGTTGAAAGAAGAAGATTGACTTTAATTGTAATAGTATGTAAATACAGACAGGGTGGAGTAATGACAAGCAGATACAGTGGATAACTATTTCAACAAGATTTGCCCACACAATGGGATTTATCAAGTGGGAGATGTGTGGGAGATGTGTGGTAAGATGTGTGGGAGATGTGTGGTAAGATAAGATAAATAAGATAAGATAAGATTTCATTCGGATTTTTAACCCCGGAGGGTTAGCCACCCAGGATAACCCAAGAAAGTCAGTGCGTCATCGAGGACTGTCTAACTTATTTCCATTGGGGTCCTTAATCTTGTCCCCCAGGATGCGACCCACACCAGTCGACTAACACCCAGGTACCTATTTGCTGCTAGGTGAACAGGACAACAGGTGTAAGGAAACGTGTCGAATGTTTCCACCCGCCGGGAATCGAACCCGGGCCCTCCGTGTGTGAAGCGGGAGCTTTAGCCACCAGGCCACCGGGCCACGATGTGTGGGAGATGTGTGTTAAAGATGTGCAGAAGGTGTGTGTTAAAGATGTGTAGGAGATGTATGTTAAAGGTGTGTGGCAGGTGTGTATTAAAGATGTATGGGAAGTGTGTGTTACCGATGTGTGGGAGGTGTGTGTTAAAGATGTGTGGGAGGTGTGTGTTAAAGATGTGTGGGAGGTGTGTGTTAAAGATGTGTGGCAGGTGTGTGTTAAAGATGTGTGGGAGGTGTGTGTTAAAGATGTGTGGCAGGTGTGTGTTAAAGATGTGTGGCAGGTGTGTGTTAAAGATGTGTGGCAGGTGTGTGTTAAAGATGTATGGGAAGTGTGTGTTAAAGATGTGTGGCAGGTGTGTGTTAAAGATGTGTGGCAGGTGTGTGTTAATGATGTGTGGCAGGTGTGTATTAAAGATGTATGGGAAGTGTGTGTTAACGATGTGTGGGAGGTGTGTGTTAAAGATGTGTGGGAGGTGTGTGTTAACGATGTGTGGGAGGTGTGTGTTAAAGATGTGGCAGGTGTGTGTTAAAGATGTGTGGCAGGTGTGTGTTAAAGATGTGTGGCAGGTGTGTGTTAAAGATGTGTGGCAGGTGTGTGTTAACGATGTGTGGGAGGTGTGTGTTAAAGATGTGTGGCAGGTGTGTGTTAAAGATGTGTGGGAGGTGTGTGTTAAAGATGTGTGGCAGGTGTGTGTTAACGATGTGTGGCAGGTGTGTGTTAAAGATGTGTGGCAGGTGTGTGTTAAAGATGTGTGGCAGGTGTGTGTTAAAGATGTGTGGGAGGTGTGTGTGTAAAGATGTGTGGCAGGTGTGTTTAAAGATGTGTGGCAGGTGTGTGTTAAAGATGTGTGGCAGGTGTGTGTTAAAGATGTGTGGCAGGTGTGTGTTAAAGATGTGTGGCAGGTGTGTGTTAAAGATGTGTGGTAGGTGTGTTAAAGATGTGTGGCAGGTGTGTGTTAAAGATGTGTGGCAGGTGTGTGTTAAAGATGTGTGGCAGGTGTATATTAAAGATGTGTGGCAGGTGTGTGTTAAAGATGTGTGGGAAATGTGTGTTAAAGATGTGTGGCAGGTGTGTGTTGAAGATGTGTGGCAGGTGTGTGTTAAAGATGTGTGGCAGGTGTGTTAAAGATGTGTGGCAGGTGTGTGTTAAAGATGTGTGGCAGGTGTGTGTTAAAGATGTGTGGCAGGTGTGTGTTAAAGATGTGTGGCAGGTGTGTGTTAAAGATGTGTGGCAGGTGTGTGTTAAAGATGTGTGGCAGGTGTGTTAAAGATGTGTGGCAGGTGTGTGTTAAAGATGTGTGGCAGGTGTGTGTTAAAGATGTGTGGCAGTTGTATGTTAAAGATGTGTGGCAGGTGTGTTAAAGATGTGTGGCAGGTGTGTTAAAGATGTGTGGCAGGTGTGTGTTAAAGACATGTGGCAGGTGTGTTAAAGATGTGTGGCAGGTGTGTGTTAAAGATGTGTGGCAGGTGTATATTAAAGATGTGTGGCAGGTGTGTGTTAAAGATGTGTGGGAAATGTGTGTTAAAGATGTGTGGCAGGTGTGTGTTGAAGATGTGTGGCAGGTGTGTGTTAAAGATGTGTGGCAGGTGTGTTAAAGATGTGTGGCAGGTGTGTGTTAAAGATGTGTGGCAGGTGTGTGTTAAAGATGTGTGGCAGGTGTGTGTTAAAGATGTGTGGCAGGTGTGTGTTAAAGATGTGTGGCAGGTGTGTGTTAAAGATGTGTGGCAGGTGTGTGTTAAAGATGTGTGGCAGTTGTAAGTGTGGCAGGTGTGTTAAAGATGTGTGGCAGGTGTGTGTTAAAGATGTGTGGCAGGTGTGTTAAAGATGTGTGGCAGTTGTGTGTTAAAGATGTGTGGCAGGTGTGTGTTAAAGATGTGTGGCAGGTGTGTTAAAGATGTGTGGCAGGTGTGTGTTGAGATGTGTGGCAGGTGTGTTAAAGATGTGTGGCAGGTGTGTTAAAGATGTGTGGCAGGTGTGTGTTAAAGATGTGTGGCAGGTGTGTGTTAAAGACATGTGGCAGGTGTGTTAAAGATGTGTGGCAGGTGTGTTAAAGATGTATGGCAGGTGTGTGTTAAAGACATGTGGCAGGTGTGTTAAAGATGTGTGGCAGGTGTGTTAAAGATGTATGGCAGGTGTGTGTTAAAGACATGTGGCAGGTGTGTTAAAGATGTGTGGCAGGTGTATAGAGAAAATAGTATAAAAGTACACAGACCAACAATGTGAAGGGAAAACTAACCTGAAGTCCTTAAAATGTGCAATGAACCATAAGATGTCAGCTTCCTCTCTGGAATCCACCACAACAAAACGTTCGTCAGTTAAATAATCTCGGACGTACTCATATTCAGCATAGACGCGGAGCGGATAATCCGCCGGCAGATCAGCAACCTCGGTGTCATTATCAGGAAGACTCTCATTCATACGCCCTGACTGTAGCCAAACATTCAACATTAATACTCACATCTATGCGACCAGACGCTTTTGTTAATATACACATTTAAAGTTCATCACAAAGAAAATGACAAGATATTTAATGTAACAAAAGGATTGAACTATACAAAACCCCAATGATTTACTCCTGATGGGAATACCGCAGTGTACCTGATAGAAGTCTTCCGGTGGTTCAGTTTGCCGAGGGTCAACGTGAGTGAGGTCAACAGGAAACCATGGAAGCATTTGGGCGTCCCGAGTCAACGAATCGACTGGAGGAGTTTCAACATAATTTCGCGTCACCTCCTCTCCCTCTTCTGCATCCTGGAGAAAAAGATTAATATTTCTTTTCCATGACTTTCTTTTTTCTAAACATGCTTGCCATCTCTCACCGAGGCAGGGCGATCCCAAAAAAGAAATGCTTTCATAAAGTTTTTTTTTTTTTTTTCAACAAGTCGGCCGTCTCCCACCGAGGCAGGGTGACCCAAAAAGAAAGAAAATCCCCAAAAAGAAAATACTTTCATCATCATTCAACACTTTCACCTCACTCACACATAATCACTGTTTTTGCAGAGGTGCTCAGAACACAACAGTTTAGAAGCATATACGTATAAAGATACACAACATATCCCTCCAAACTACATTTAGTAATTTACACAGAAGAAGTTAGTTGCCCCTTGTTCCCAGCATTTTAGTTGCCTCTTACAACACGCATGACTTACGGAGGAAGAATTCTGTTCCACTTCCCCATGGAGATAAGATGAAATAAACAAGAACAAGAACTAGTAAGAAAATACAGTGGACCCCCGGTTAACGATATTTTTTCACTCCAGAAGTATGTTCAGGTGCCAGTACTGACCGAATTTGTTCCCATAAGGAATATTGTGAAGTAGATTAGTCCATTTCAGACCCCCAAACATACACGTACAAACGCACTTACATAAATACACTTACATAATTGGTCGCATTCGGAGGTGATCGTTATGCGGGGGTCCACTGTAAAAGAAAACCCAGAGGGGTGTTTATACATATGCTCGTGCATGTGTGTGTAGTGTGACCTAAGTGTAAATAGAAGTAGCAAGACGCATCTGAAATCTTGAATGTTTATGAGACAGAAAAAAGACGCCAGCAATTCTACCATCATGTAAAACAATTACACACTTTCGTTTTACACTCACTTGACAGGTATTATTATTATTATTATTGCAATATTCATGGAGATGAGCTAAATTTATGATCCTAGAAAGTCTGAGGGATCCAGGATTGAATAACCCATCTCTCTTTCATTCATCAAATTTTATACATTTTATGTTTGTCTTACCTGGATTGGAAACAAGAGAGAGTAGCAGCACTGATGTGGGGTATAAAAGAAGGGTATCACACGGAAGTTTGGCTCCCCACAGTGTTGAATACGGGAGCCAAATTCATCCATGATGTACCACACTGGAAGACGTTCTTCGGCAGTTTTGCCAACTGAAATATATGTTGCGAATTAAAATACTATAGAAGGAATTTCTGAAAAAATAATAAGTAGAAAACTCCTGTTAAGCAGAATACAGTGGACCCCCGCATAACGATCACCTCTGAATGCGACCAATTATGTAAGTGCATTTATGTAAGTGCGTTTGTACGTGTATGTTTGGGGGTCTGAAATGGACTAATCTACTTCACAATATTTCTTATGGGAACAAATTCGGTCAGTACTGGCACCTGAACATACTTCTGGAGTGAAAAAATATCGTTAACCAGGGGTCCACTGTATTTTTTTTTTATGCATCGATGAAATGATAAAACTGGTATTTCTGTGAATGAAGGAGTTAATAGATAACGCTGTTTTATGCCACAAAAAGACTCTGCTGCTCAAAGGTACTGTTTTTTTCTTTTTTAACATATCGGCTCTTCCATCGAGGTGCGGTGACCCGAAAAAGAAGAAACACATTCATTGTCACTCACTTCACACTGTCCTGCCAAGGGCATGCCAATACTACTATATAATATTATTATTATTAAAAAGATATTCATGGGGAAATACTAAGCCTGTAAAAGCCATACAACACCTGGAGATCCAAACAAGGGAAGAATAGCTTAAACTCCTCAAATACAAATAATATAATTCTTTCTTGGTTGATCAGACCCTGATCCATCACAAGGCCTGGTCTCAGACCGAGCCATGGGGGCACTGACCCACAAAACTCTCTCCAGATGTACTCCAGGTATACAAAAGAAAGTCACCTAGGATGTGGTTCATCTCAGGCAGACTAATACTAATGTTTAAAGACAACTGAAGAACTAGACTTAGGCTATTAAGTAGGAATTTTTAAATGTACAAAAAAGAGAGGTAGGTGAGCAATAGCATATTGTAATAAACAGAATATAGGAAATCAGCTTTAATATACATTATTTAGGTATGCAAACTGGTCAGAAAGGCCGTCATAAGTCCGAGGCATCGGTAAACAAGTACATCGCTAAGTGAGGAGAGGCTGTATACACAAATAGTTACTGCCCTTTTAATTTTAAGTTAGGTCTAAGCGTGGCTGAAATGCCCTGCATAACTATGAGGTTTCTGTATGAAGACTTAAAATGTTACCCATCACTGTACCAACATTGTACTATTATTAATGGCTTCTTCAGTCGTGGCAAGCCGTTGCCATGATAAATTTCCTGAACTGTGCACAGGTGTTCTTTTTACAGTTTGTCAGTATCACCCAACCATTCACAAGCTGGATAACACTTGACAGCACACATGGAAAGCCCCTGGTTACAAGCCATTGCAGGCAACCTGAACCCTAAGATCAACAGAACACGACACACACTTACCGAGGCTGTAAGTTCCATTAAACTTCCACATTTCTTGGAGAACTTTCTCTATAAATTGTTCTCGGTCGTTATCCTCACGTGGAATGTCCATGAGAGCCACCATCCTCTCCAGCAAGCCTGGTATATCTTTCAAGTATTGCCTGGCTTCATTTGCTCTGTATGTCCAAGCATGGTCGATCAAGAATATGCTGTAAAGGAATATACTGTCAGAAATATGCTGTAAAGAAATATACTGTCAGGAATATACTGTAAAGGATTATACTGTAAGGAATATAATGAAACTGGAAAGAAATATACTGTAAGGAATATAATGGAGTAGAAAGGAATATACTGTAAGGAATATACTCTTTGCTACAGGTGTTCCCAGACTTACAATCAGGTTATATTCTGATGAACCCATTGTAAGTTGAAAATATCGTATGTCAAATATGAATATGATATGATAAATAAATCCTAGGTGCAACAGTTTTGCACATTCAGTACTGTACAGTGGACCCCCGGTTAACGATATTTTTTCACTCCATAAGTATGTTCAGGTGCCAGTACTGACCGAATTTATTCCCATAAGGAATATTGTGAAGTAGATTAGTCCATTTCAGACCCCCAAACATACACGTACAAACGCACTTACATAAATACACTTACATAATTGGTCGCATTCGGAGGTAATCGTTATGCGGGGGTCCACTGTACAGTTCTGTACAATACTCTCCATTTATTGATAGGTTAAACTGTTTTTTTTTATTTTCAACAAGTCGGCCGTCTCCCACCGAGGCAGGGTGACCCAAAAAGAAAGAAAATCCCCAAAAAGAAAATACAGTGGACCCCCGCATAACGATCACCTCCGAATGCGACCAATTATGTAAGTGTATTTATGTTTGGGGGTCTGAAATGGACTAATCTACTTCACAATATTTCTTATGGGAACAAATTCGGTCAGTACTGGCACCTGAACATACTTCTGGAGTGAAAAAATATCGTTAACCGGGGGTCCACTGTACTTTCATCATCATTCAACACTTCCACCACACTCACACATTATCACTGTTTTTGCAGAGGTGCTCAGAACACAACAGTTTAGAAGCATATAAAGATACACAACATATCCCTCCAAACTGCTAATATAATAAACTTGTATTTATTTACAGTACAGTGGACCCCCGCATAACGATGGCATCGCATAGCGATTTTTCCGCATAACGATTACTTTTATCGCAAAATTTTTGCCGCGCATACCGATTAAAAACCCGCATACCGATTTTCGTCCGAGACGCGTCCAATGTGCCCTCAGCCAGCCTCACATGTGCCGCTCCGTCCCATTGTTTACCAGCCAGCCTCCGCGGTAACATCCAAGCATACACTCGGAATATTTCGTATTATTACAGTATTTTCGGTGCTGTTTCTGGAAAATAAGTGACCATGGGCCCCAAGAAAGCTTCTAGTGCCAACCCTGTGGTAAAAAGGGTGAGAATTAGTATGGAAATTAAGAAAGATTTTGAAGGGTTTGGGGCTAACCCTGAGAAGCCTATGCCAGTTGTGGAATCCATTGTGCCTACTTCAAAGATTAAGGAAATGTGTGCAGAGTGGGTTGAACTGCAAACCTTTATAGATGAAAATCACCCTGACACAGCTGTTGCAAGCCGTGCTTGTGACTATTTCAATGACAATGTTATGGCCCATTTTAGGAAAGTCTTGAAGGAACGGGAGGTACAGAGCTCTATGGACAGATTTGTTGTGCGACAGAGGTCCAGTGACTCTCAAGCTGGTCCTAGTGGCATTAAAAGAAGAAGGGAAGTAACCCCAGAAAAGGACTTGCTACCTCAAGTCCTAATGGAAGGGGATTCCCCTTCTAAACAGTAAGAAGATAATGCTCTCCCCTCCTCCCATCCCATCAATCATCACCAGATCTTCAATAAAAGTAAGTGTCATGTAATTGTGCATGCCTTTTTCAGTTTGTGTGTATTAAAATTAACATTTCATGTGGTAAAAAAAAATTTTTTTCATACTTTTGGGCGTCTTGCACGGATTAATTTTATTTCCATTATTTCTTATGGGGAAAATTCATTCGCATAACGATTATTTCGCATAACGATGAGCCCTCTTGCACGGATTAAAATCGTTAACCGGGGGTCCACTGTATTTACTTTTCAGTACTGGTATTTACAGTAATTATTTATTTACTACTTATTCAGTGACAGTAATTATTTACCTGTTTATTTAGAATAGCTTATTCATGTTCGACTTACGATATTTTTTACTTACGATGGATTTGTCAAAACATAACCCCGTTGTAAGTCAAGGACCACCAGTACATGCACAAATATAGTATGTCCTTGACTTACAAATATACTGAGAATCTTCTGTATTGTGTATATCATTATTGTGCATAATATAATTATTATACACAATTCAAAAGGTCCCCAATGTGTTTTTAAGTTGAGGACTTATTGTACTCGATTGCTAATGCACTCAGCTGACACACTGAGGTCCGGAGTTAGAATCTCCGGTACGGCTGGAAAACATTAGGATGTGTTTCCATAAAACACCTTCTGTCCCTGTTCACCCATCAGTATAAAATGAGCTCCTGGGTGTTAGTGGACTGGTGTGGGTCGCATCCTGGGACAACGCTGACCAAATTTGCGGGAAATGCTCAGCACAACAAGCGACTTTCTGTATAGTACATGTAGTATGTCACTAATGTCAGCTATGGTCTGTATACCTTGTACTGTACATGTACTTGTAGTAAATAAAGATATATTATTATTATTACAGTATGTTATTATAATACACTGCTTCTACATAAATGATATGATGCGTACTTTTCTGGATCGGTGGCCATTATTCCTTCAGGTTTCGTAATAATAACTTGCCAGAGTGGATCACTCTGGTCATTCTCGCCATCAGCATACGTTAGCTGGCACAGCTGGAAATACTCTCCGGCATCATAAACCTGAAAAATATATTTGATGCCGTAGTTGCAACATTGCTCATATCATTGATCCATCATGCAAAGGTCAATGAATCTCGTATAGTGAACATGAACACACAAGTCATATATCCTCTATTGTGTGAATGATGGTGAAAGTGTTTCTTTTTTCTGGTCACCCTGCCTCAGAGACAACCATTGTGTTAAAAAAACAAATGGAAATCCAATGGAATTTTAAATTTCCTGGGTATACCCGGTATACTTCAGGTATACATCATGTATACTTCACATATACCAAATATACAGGTATACTCCAAGTATACCAGGTATACCCAGTAAATTTAAAACTATCCATTGATATTTCCAATATTCAAATCTTTTCTTTTCATGTGGTTTTCTTATGAATGTTATTATACACGTAGACATGTGGCACGTGAAACAAAATAAGCAAAAATCAGAAACAAGTTCCAATATATGGAGAGAATTTTGTGATATTCATGGATTTTGTAGTCACAGGTTACTCTTAAGAAAAAAGTTTGTGGAAACTGGTATAATAGACTGTGTAAAGTAAAAGGACACAAGTGCAACTAATGTGACATTTTATTGTGGCAATGTTTCGCTTTCCAGGAACTTTGTCAAGCCGATACAAACAGTATATGGACACAGAGGGTATATAAAGGCTCAGAGTGAGGTGCAATACTTGTGAGGTACAATTTCGATGTTCACTAGTGGTAGTAGTAGTAGTAGTAGTAGTGACAAAAGTTGTAGTAGTAGCAGTAATACAATATGGTAGAGCAATTAATTCGTACATGAGTAAAAGGATATAAAAGCTATTACTTGGGTAACATAAAATTAGGTTGGACAAATATAGACTGGAAAGAGGCAGCTTGTTTCAGTGTTCACTCTCTGTAATGTGCTTTGTGTAGTATAACAGGAGACTATGTGATGGCAGGGTTTACTGTTTTCAGGAGGATTCTTGCTTCTGGAGAGAGAAACGTTGCCACAATAAAATGTCACATTAGTTGCACTTGTGTCCTTTTACTTTACATATTGTCGGTAATTCTACCAACATTATTACATAACAGACTGTACAAATCACTCAACACTACTAGTCTAAAGTGGTCTTAAATAGTCTTAAACAGGCTGGAAGCATTAGGATTAAGCTGCCCGAAATGCTGCTCGATAAAAGCCATATAGCATGTACTAATAGGATATTCAATTCTCTTGTATTCATTATCTTATTCATTGCCTTATGAGCCTTAAGTAAGTCTTGAGTTTGCGTGAAATACTCTGCATATTAAGGGACTTTCTGCATGTACACCTGAATGTCATTCACCTTTGTACATTGTATCATGCTGAAACAAAAAATATTCATCTTAATTTGGTGGCTTTCTTTGTGCTTAACAATATTTTATTACATGTAAAGTATATTTTATATACTACACAAGGAAACTGTTTATTTTGTTAGTTTACTTGAAGAGGATACCAGAAGGGGATTGAAATACACAGATCAAGTAATATTCTGAGTGTTTCTCGATGTGGGTTTTTAGTGAGCAATGGCAAGTGTTCAATATAGTACTTTAGTTATTCATGTGGTTAAAGCAAAGAATGATTACATTCATTATACTTTAGTTATCCATGTGACTAAAACAAAAAATTATCACAGAAGGCAATTTACTGTTCATCCTGAATAAGTTTTTGAATTTTCTACATTGAAAACTACCTACAACTTCATGAAATACATGAAATAAAGACTCACTTGCCCCTGAAGCTTCCTTAAGAGAGTTGGCCAGAAATAACGAGGAACACCCGACGACTCTAGCTGAACCTTGTGGTGTTCAACAAAAGTTTTCTCCAGCCCATTATACTCGTCCATCGTTCGTCACGCTGACAATTCAACTACACAGACTAATGTATAATTGTTTACACAATGGGTAGCTTCTTCTCAGGCACTAACTAATTCAGGCAACGGATGTCAACACTTCCGCATGTCACAGCCTCGGAGCATTCCCTATTAACCTGTGGATAATATATTCTATTAGATGTACATTTATATAGCATATTATTATTATTATTATTATTATTATTATTATTATTATTATTACTACAGTAGCTCCTCGACTTACAAACATGCTGAGAATCTTCTGTATTGTGTATGTCATTATTGTGTATAATATCATCCTTATGTGCAATACAGGTGTATATGAATGGTACACAATACCATTCATATGATGTTAGACACATGAGTAACATCTGGGTATCTTTATTTTAAACGTTTTGCCTACCAGTGACCATGCCCTCGTCTGCTACCTGTCCCTTTCCACCTGACACCAGTATACAGTGGACCCCCGCATAACAATCACCTCCGAATGCGACCAATTATGTAAGTGTATTTATGTAAGTGCCTTTGTGCGTGTATGTTTGGGGGTCTGAAATGGACTAATCTACTTCACAATATTCCTTATGGGAACAAATTCGGTCAGTACTGGCACCTGAACATACTTCTGGAGCGAAAAAATATCGTTAACCGGGGGTCCACTGTATAAGCACCAGTCTTCTTGTCACTGCTCCAGAATCTTCACGACTACGGTGCTCTTCACACCAGCTCCAAGGCTGAGGGACTGATTACCTCATCTTTTGTATATAGTCCTACTGTCCTACTGTCTTCCAGTTATGTCCTAGAATTAGTACTGATAAAGCCACTGGATGACGAAACATCTACAATAAAGATACCCAGATGTTGCACATGTCTAATTTTCAATACATAAGGTCCCAATGTGTTTGGAAATTGAAGACTTCGTGTTTTATGAATATTATACACAATTCAGGTCCCAGTACAGGCATTCCTCACTAACATGGCAGGTCAAGTTCCAGACCATCGCCGTAAAGCAAATATCACTTTAGAGCGAATCACAGCTTTTTTTCACTTGCCAATGCATATAAAAACCTAAAAATATGTTTACACTATCATTTATTAAATGAAACAGAGCACTAGGCCTAAAAGAAATGAGTAAAAATATTAAATAAAAAAATTCAAAATTGCTCCACGGAGGTGAACTCTTCTACAAGCTGAGGGGCTGACTACCTCATATACTTTTTCTCCAAGGTTGATGGACTGATTACATCATCTTTATTTCATTACTAATGCTGCCTCTGTACTCGACTGAAGAAGCCTACTGCGTAGGTGAAACGTTTCACCAATAAAGATACCTAACTGTTGTACGTGTGTCATAATGTTCAGACAGATGTGTACATGTGCCATAATGTTCGGACAGATGTTGTACATGTGCCATAATGTTCGGACAGATGTTGTACATGTGTCATAATCTTCAGACACAGATGTTGCATACATCTAATTCTTCAACTTATCAGTATTTTATTTTATTTACAACAACAAGTTTCTCTCTAAACCAATCATTCCCAACCAATCACTTGTTCTAGTTAGTATTACAGCAGCCGTGAAACAAGTGGGTTTTAAAGCAAATAACAATACGGCCTCTCCTCACTTAATGACGGAGTTACGTTCCTAAGACCACGTGGGTAAACGAGTTTGTGGCTACCTGAAGTTTACCTGGAGAGGGTTTTGGGGGCTAAGTGAGGATCGTACTATAATGGTAGTGGGTTTGTGTAAACCATCTTTGATATTGTTTTAATGTCACCTTTGTACCATTCATAACATTTCTGGTACAGTATATTTTTAAATGTTTATACAGTAATGTACTGTACGTATATTGTAATAAACGGAATAGAGGAAATCATTGGGCGTGTTTCTTTCCGCCTGTTGTCCCTGTTCACCCATCAGTAAAATGGGTACCTGGATGTTAGTCGACTGGTGTGAGTGGCATCCTGGGAAAAAACTGACCTAATTTGCCCGAAATGCTCAGTCTTCAAGCTGGCACTGGACAAGCACCTAAAGTCGGTTCCTGACCAGCCGGGCTGTGGCTTGTACGTTGGTTTGCATGCAGCCAACAGTAACAGCCTGGTTGATCAGGCTTTGATCCACCAGGCGGCCTGGTCACAGACCGGGCCGCGGGGGCGTTGACCCCCGGAACTCTCTCCAGGTAAACTCCAGGTAATAGTATGTCACTGATGTCAGCTATGGTCTGTATAACATGTACTTGTAGTAAATAAAGATATTATTAATAAAGATATTATTATTATTATTTAGGTATGTACACTGGTCAGAGAGACCGTCATAAGTCCGAGTCATTGGTAAATGAGTATGTCACTAAGTGAGGAGAGTCTGTACTGCGACCAGCCAGCACCTCAAGGGAGGTTCCTTGATGCTGGTGAGGGGCTCTTGATCTAGGGAATTGGATCTGTGCTCCAGTTCCCTGAATTAAGTCTAAATACCTTCCATCCCCCCCTACAGGTGCTGTATAATACATATGGATTTAGCGCTCCCCCATAATTATAATACTGCGACCAGCCAGGGATCCATCCCCCAAGATATTTTGTCCGCCCCTGAGGAACAAGATCGATTCATTCGTCCACTTGGCCAACATGATGGCCAGTGAGTGGAGTGAAGCTCCAGTTCCACAGATCAAGAGCCTGTATGAGGAAAGAAGGGAGAAATGAGGAGAGGGAGGAGGAAAAGAAGAGGAAAAAGAATAAGAAGGAAAAAGAATAAGAAGGAAAAAGAATAAGAAGGAAAAAGAATAAGAATAAGAAGGAAAAGAAAAGGTAAAAGAAGAGAAAAATGAAGGGGGGAAAGAATAAAAAATGTAAAAGAGAAAGCAGCAGTAAACCCGTACGGGTCACACCGCCCCTGTAGAGCGAAAAGCTGTGAGATTCAATTTAAGGACAGATCCAGTTCCTGGGATCAAGAGTCCCTCACCGGCACCAGGGCGGGAATTACAAAAAATTTCGGTACATAAAAAAATTCCTCGAGGGGGGGGTGGGGGTTCCTTGATGCTCAGGGAGAAAGGGGATCTTGGTCCCCTTCCTCGGATCAAACCCAATTACACCCCCATGTGTTATATGGCCCATATGGGTTTAGTGCTTCCCTGCGAATAACACAAAGGGATATTGATCCTCTTCCTCGGATCAAACCCGATTACCCCTAGGTTCTGCATGACTCCATACTGGTTTAGCGCTCTCTCAGGTTAATTAAACCTAAAAACACAATTGACTAACAAAAATAAATCGTGTGGATTACAATTATCCATCATGGGGAGCGCTAAACTCACACGGGCTATAGTAGCGATCAGTGAAGAGGTGGGACCAGGAGCCATGATTCGACCCCTGCAACCACAATTAGGTGAGTACAGCGCATGTTGGGTGTGGATTAAGGTTAATAAACACATATTTACTGCAACAACTCTCTTGCAACAACCTTCAACTGCTTCATCTTGCAGTGCAACAAACAACAAGTTAAAAGTTGACCTGCTAAAATATCCCTGAAAGTAAATATATAAGAAGATTACTGATAAAATATTGTTGTTTTTTTTTACCCGGGAATGAGACACCAGAACCTCCCAGTCCGTCAGGGTGTTAGGGTTTATAGGGCTACTGGACCTGGTGCCGTAATGAACCCTCTATTATGGTGCCTGGTACTGCTGATTGTTATAGGGCCACTGGACCTGGTGCCGTAATGAACCCTCTATTAGGGTGCCCGGAGGAGTTAACCACTGGTATCCTGGGTGGCTAACCTTCCGTACCCTGGGTTATCATGGGTGGCTAACCTTCTCTACCCTGGGTTTTCCTGGGTGGTTAACCCTCTCTACCCTGGGTTTTCCTGTGAGGCTAACCTTCCCTACCTTGGGTTATCCTGGGTGGCTAACCCTCTCTTACCTGGGTTATCCACCCCTACCCTGGGTTATCCTGGGTGGCTAACCCTCCCTACCCTGGGTTATCCTGGTGGCTAACCCTCCCTACCATGGGTTATCCCGGTGGCTAACCCTCCCTACCCTGGGTTACTTTGGGTGGCTAACCCCCCCTACCCTGGGTGGCTAACCCTCCCTACCCTGGGTTATCCTGGGTGGCTAACCCTCCCTACCCTGGGTTATCCTGGGTGGCTAACACTCCCTACCCTGGGTTATCCTGGGTGGCTAACCCTCCCTACCCTGGGTTATCCTGGGTGGCTAACCCTCCCTACCCTGGGTTATACTGGGTGGCTAACCCTCCCTACCCTGGGTTATCCTGGGTGGCTAACCCTCCCTACCCTGGGTGGATAACCCTCCCTACCCTGGGTTATACTGGTGGCTAACCCTCCTTACCCTGGGTTATCCTGGGTGGACAACCTTCCGATTAAAAACTCCAACAAAATTTTATCTCTTAAGTGACTTCTAAGACTCAGACCATCAAATAACTTAATTTTTTTTTAATACACTGTCTCGCATAAAAGTACGGTGGCCTAAAAAGAAAGTGCAGAAGCATTCACCATCATTCACCAAATCATTGTCTTGTCAGAAGCATGTTGATATTACAGTTCAGACAACTCTCCGACTTCACTGTTGTTACACTAGAGTACAAGCATTGTAAAGGTTCTTCTCAGCTTATGGCTGTATAGTCCTTGTGGCTTAGCTCTTCTTTTTGATTATAATAATAATTCTCAGCTTATGATATCTGAATTTACGATGGTGCAGAAGCAATCGCTTTGATGAAGAAATTTAAGATAATTACCCACTGTGAAGGTGGCAAGTCCATAACATGTATTCATTTATTGACTTTTCAATACTGGTATTTTGTTACAGTAATTATTTGTGTAGTTACTCATTCAGTGACAGTTATTTATTTAGCATATATTCATATTCGAATCGTGATATTTTTTATTTACGTTGGGTTCGTCGGAACATAACCCCATTGTAAGTCGAAAACCACCTGTACTTCCTGTCTTTAGGCCTCATATCTGGCTAGCCAGTTTCTCCTGCATCTATAAATGCTACCTTGCTCATTCTCCAACACCACGTCAGGTCACAAACACCTGTGACAGACCCGTCAGTGAAAATTATGTGGTAGACACTGAAAGACAGAGTTACAGATCCTTTTTATTCTACACTTTCTATGTCTCAATTTTGAATATATGTTTTACCTTGTAATGTTTGCCAGGACCTGGAGAATGTGACCGAGACATAAGAACACAACTTAAGTCACCATTTGCCTGAAATGCTCAGGCATGTTAGTGGCATTCTTTGTGTTTAACAATACAGTGGACCCCCGGTTTACGATCAGCTCCCAATGCGACCAATTATGTAAGTGTATTTATGTAAGTGCGTTTGTACGTGTATGTTCGGGGGTCTGAAATGGACTAATCTACTTCACAATATTCCTTATGGGAACAAATTCGGTCAGTACTGGCACCTGAACATACTTCTGGAATGAAATAATATCGTAAACCGGGGGTCCACTGTATTTTATATGTCACACATTGTAAAATTTGCAGAGAAATAAAAAAATTGAATTTGAATTCAGTGGGGTTAAACTGCACTTGTTTCTAGTGGTGTTACTTAATTTTGAGAATACAGGAATACCTCACTAATATGGCAGGTAAAGTTCCTGACCATCGCCATAAAGCTAATATTACCTTAAAGCGAATCAGTCTTTTTTTTCACTTGTCAGTACATATAAAAGCCTAAAAACATGTTTACATTATCAATGCAGAAATATTTTTTTTTTAAATTGCCAAAATCATCTTAAGAACAAGACAAGCACTGGAAATAATAAACATGAATATAATTGAAAAGCGCCGCATTAGCGAAGCGCTCTAAAGCAAGCGCCGTATTAATGAGGTATGCCTGTATAGCCATATACATGTAGTAGCAATATACAGTAAATGCCTCATAAAATAAAAATGATTTTGACTTCTCATAATCGTGATCACAACCAATAACGAATAAACAGAGGCTCGGGTTAGCCTAAACGGTCAAGCATCGGACTGTCAATTTACGGACCGAGGTTCAAGCCTCTCATCCACCCTTCTTTTTATTCACTGACAACTGTTTATTACAAATTAATTTGTGTTCGTATACAAAATATATAGTACTTCATCTCAAACAATGATGAATAAAAAGTGCAAATACACACATTATCTCACACAATAGTTGCCAAGGCATTGGGAAAGGTAAGAATGTTCAACATTAAAAAAATATTAACAAATAACACAACAAACTAATCAGCAAAAAACTGCTGAATTACCATTTTATTCAAACTGCAGTGATTGTTCACTCCCGTTTTTGTAAACAACCACGATAAGGCCTTCAAGTTATATTGTGACAAATGCAGGAGATACCTACATATACAGAACCTCTTTTTAGTGTTCCATGTTTTCATTTGCTTTCAATTGAGCCATTGTTCCATCCATCAGTGAATCACCGGCCGGTGGAACATAATGAACAATGGCTCAGTCTGAAGCCAACGAAAATGTAGAACACCAAAAAGATGCTATATACACAGTGCCATCCTGTACCATCAATTATTCTTACTTATTAGCCTTTCAACTTTACATGACGTGCCAGTAGGCCTACTGTAGTTCTCTATTATTTCCTCAATTTTTTTTTAACCCGTAAACAGTCCAAACGTATACATACGTTTTTTCAACATCTGAAAGTATGTAAAAAAATGTAGATCTTCTTTTTTGTTTTACATTTGAAAATGTGTAAAAAAACTTTTATCTACATTTTTTTTGTTATATTTGAAAATATGTAAAAAAAAGATCTACTTTTGTAGCACTACGAATCTGAACGTCGATCTGTTTGGACCGTTTAAGGGTTAACAAGTCGGCCGTCTCCTACTGAGGCAGGGTGACCCAAAAAGAAAGAAAATCCCCAAAAAGAAAATACTTTCATCATCATTCAACACTTTCACCTCACTAATACATAATCACTGTTTTTGCAGAGGTGCTCAGAACACAACAGTTTAGATGCATATACGTATAAAGATACACAACATATCCCTCCAAACTGCCAATATTCAAATATAATCCTCATATTCAGCTTTCTTTTATGCTTAACAATATTTTATTAAATGTAATCTACATTTTGTATACTGCAGAAAGGAAACAAAGATGTATGTACTGAAATAGTAGCAGTGATAAGAAGTAGGTGGGTTAGGTTAGATAACCGAAACTTAGATTGTGTTAACCAGAGTTGAGGTTGGTTCCAGGGGTTGGTCAACTGATACACCATATAAACATTAGGATTAATCAATGAAGTTTACAAGAAAGGGTTGCAATAGGTAGGGAGGAAATGATAAAGAGAAGAACTCCACCCATAACATGATGCTCAGTGAGAGGGAGAGAAAGAGGGAGGTGAACACTGTGTGTAAGGAAAGAACACAGTACAACGACAGAGCAGTCCGGCCCCATGGCTGTCCCTTGATGAGTATATGGCACAATGGTTGGTGGAGAATTAGCTCTATTTTTATTATTATTAACATAGCCATTTCCCACCAAGGAAGGGTTGCCAGATAAAGGAAAACTTTCATCATCATTCACTCCATCACTGTCTTGCCAGAGACACACTTACACTACAGTTATAAAACTGCAACTTTAACACCGCTCCTTCAGAGTGCCGGCGCTGTACTTCCCATCTCCAGGAATCAAGTCCTCTATACTCAATCATCAATCATTGTTAAGTACATGATTTCTGCCTCAGTAAGCCATGCATGTCGTAAGAGGCACCTACAATGCTGGGAGAAAGGTGCTAGCAACCCCTTCTCCTGTATATATTACTAAATGTAATAAGAAAAACTTTCGGTAGAATTGCCAACAATACGTCTGGTAAAAAGACACAAATGCAACTATTGCGCCATTTTATTTGTGGCAACGTTTCACTCTCCAGGAAGTTTGTCACAGTAAAATGCTGCAATAGTCGTACACTTCTCCTTTTACTTAACACTGACTAACTTGGATATATTAACAACAGTGCAGAAACATATAAATCACTCTACCCCCAGTTAAAATGTTTTGTAAATCTTCTGCCTATCAATATGGTTTGTAAATCTGCCACCTGTCAATATGGTTTGTAAATCTGCCACCTGTCAATATGGTTTGTAAATCTGCCACCTGTCAAGATGTTTTGAAAAAATTTTGATAATACATATCACATGAAAAATTTTTTGCACAGGTTTAGTAACTTGGCCTAAAGGGAAGAAACTTCCACATGAGAACAAATTTATTGCATATAAAAAAATTTACTTTTACAAGAAAAAATTGATCTAAAGGGAATCAGTGTTCCCAATATGACTGAAGACTTTAAAGGGAAAACTTTTAATACATAAAAATGTAGGCACTGTATTCTACTTTTACGGTTTGTATGGAAATATTATTATATAGTACGTAAAATGATGTATTAGATGAGAATTTAGAAAATACATATACACAGCTACCTTTTATGTCCATTTTTATATTAAGATTTGTTTTCAAATATTAATTTTAAGTACTTTTTTGCTTGATGTAAATGATTATTGTACTGATTAAAAATTGGAAAAAATAATTATTGGGAAACAAGAAAAAATAATATTGTACCCACAATCAAAATAAACATAGGTAAACTTCCGAAATCTGTGAGGAATCGTTATGTAATTTTTTTTACACAGTTAGATATCAATAATAACAAAGAGTTCGTGTTGCTGTCCACTGTCGTACACCTGCATGCTGGCATAGGTTATGGCCTTAACTTCGGTACCCTGCGGGTGTTTCTCCAGGCTGAATTCTTCTCCATATAATGTGGCTTTGATGCTGAAAGCCTCCTTATCGAATTCCGTGACAACCACTTTACGTGCTACGAAAAATTCCTCGGCAGAAAATACATATAAGCACTCATCGAGGAAGTTGTACAGTAGGCTTTCTATGTCATGTCCATCTGCCTCAATTTCCTGCCGGCCAGTAATATCCACTTTATCAATCTCGGTCATGTAGCCATACAGAGCTACAGCAGCTTGCTCGAAAGCTTCTCTCAGACTGTCACCCCATGCGTGGATCTGAACGTCTGCAGGATGGTCGAGGTATTCGTACTTGCAGGGAGGAAGCTCTAGCTCTTCAGGGGTAAGCTCCACTGCTTCTTCCTGTAAAAACATAAATATTAAAAAAATTACTAAAATGTAGGTGGAACAATTTACGACCCACATTTTATTTTCTAATTTGTTAAAGGATATTACTGGCAGTAAGCCAAGTAATTCTTGGTGACATCCTGACTTCAATACGTTCACTTGTATTACTAATCCTCCGGTTTAATAAACCAAACAAATAAAAATATCCACAATGAAAAATAAAAAATAACAGTACATAGCCAGGTCTCAATTAGTGTGAATAATGGATCCCATGGAATGGTCACATTATTTAAATTTGTACTTTTTGCATTATGTATATGTAATCTTTGTACAAGGTTTGAGAAGTTTGGGGGAAACTAGCATTAATTAATTTGGCACTACATTGAAATCCACATTATTTCAATTACAGTAGTTACCTCATATCCCCGGGTGATACATTCCGGAGCGAATCCTATATACAGCCTCTCCTCACTTAACAAGAGTTCCATTCCTGAGACCACATCATTAAACGAATTCATCGCTAAGTGAGGATCATACTATAATGGTAGTGAGTTTGTGTCAACCATCTTTGATATTGTTTTAATGTCACCTTTGTACCATTTATAACATTTCTGGTATATTTTTAAATGTTTATACAGTAGTGTTCTGTATATTGTAATAAACAGAATTGAGGAAATCAGCTCTAATATACATTGTTTAGGCATAAATACTGGTTAGAGTGCTCGTTGTAAGTCCGAGGCGTCGGTAAATGAGTGCATCGCTAAGTTTGATAAAGTTTGATAAATTAGGCACAATAGATGGAGAAGTAGCACTTTTTAACTGATAGAAAACATTTCACAACTTCTCTTAGGTTCTGAAGATGTGTCACCATCAATAGTTTTCCACTCTGGGGTCATTATTAACCAAAATTAAGGGTTATTTTTGGGCCAGAGTAAACTGCGGACAACTGAAACTGTGGGAAAAAATATCCGCAGGTATGGATGGGATGTTTACCTGGAGTTTACCTGGAGAGAGTTTCGGGGGTCAATGCCCCCGCGGCCCGGTCTGTGACCAGGCCTCCTGGTGGATCAGCGCCTGATCAACCAGGCTGTTGCTGCTGGCTGCATGCAAACCAACGTACGAGCCACAGCCCGGCTGATCAGGAACTGACTTTAGGTGCTTGTCCAGTGCCAGCTTGAAGACTGCCAGGGGTCTGTTGGTAATCCCCCTTATGTGTGCTGGGAGGCAGTTGAACAGTCTCGGGCCCCTGACACTTATTGTATGGTCTCTTAACGTGCTAGTGACACCCCTGCTTTCCATTGGGGGGATGGTGCATCGTCTGCCAAGTCTTTTGCTTTCGTAGTGAGTGATTTTTCGTGTGCAAGTTCGGTACTAGTCCCTCTAGGATTTTCCAGGTGTATATAATCATGTATCTCTCCCTCCTGCGTTCCAGGGAATACAGGTTTAGAAACCTCAAGCGCTCCCAGTAATTGAGGTGTTTTATCTCCGTTATGCGCGCCGTGAAAGTTCTCTGTACATTTTCTAGGTCGGCAATTTCACCTGCCTTGAAAGGTGCTGTTAGAGTGCAGCAATATTCCAGCCTAGATAGAACAAGTGACCTGAAGAGTGTCATCATGGGCTTGGCCTCCCTAGTTTTGAAGGTTCTCATTATCCATCCTGTCATTTTTCTAGCAGATGCGATTGATACAATGTTATGGTCCTTGAAGGTGAGATCCTCCGACATAATCACTCCCAGGTCTTTGACGTTGGTGTTTCGCTCTATTTTGTGGCCAGAATTTGTTTTGTACTCTGATGAAGATTTAATTTCCTCATGTTTACCGTATCTGAGTAATTGAAATTTCTCATCGTTGAACTTCATATTGTTTTCTGCAGCCCACTGAAAGATGTGTCCAGCTTTTGCGCACAATTTGAGAAGAATTTGGGAGGAAAGAAACTACAATTAATTTTGTA